ATTCCGCTGTTTGAGTTAGCTCAGTCATACTAACGACACGCTCAGTGCTGAAGAATCGACCCAAAAACTCCATTTCCATTTGATCCCAACTATCAATGGACTCAGCCTCTAAGTTGGTGTACCGGTCAAAAGTGGTTCCCTTAAGAGAACGAACGAATCTTTTAACAAGCAAGTCACCCCTCGTACCACCATTGATGCATGTCTCTATGAAGTGTGCAACATGTTGTTTTGGGTTCCCCTTTCTATCTAAGAGTTGAAATTTTGGAGGTTGGCATCCAAACGGCATTTTCAGCTCATCTATTCTCTTAGTGTAAGGCTTCACATAACGTCGGTTATTATGAGAAACACCCCCTCCAAGTTGGTTCTTGACAACATTGGTTATTGTGGGGAATATTTCAAACATCAACTTTGGGCCCAACTTTGATCATGTATTTAAGCATGGTGGCGTCCAAAGGGAAAGAAACTAGAGATAAAAGAGTCTCCAACAAGTTTTAGGAACTTGTAAACTATTCTAGAGTGTGAAGGTTACACCTCATTCACAAACACAGAAATCACTAACTCCATAGTGGTCCGGAACCATGACTGGTATTCGGGGATGATGGTACGAATCCAACCTAAAAAAGATTGAACCCGCCCTAAATCGGCCTCTACTTAATTCTTATGATATTCATGGCTTTCCGATCAACATACATACAACAAGTTAGCCCTAAACCTATTTAATCTACGTTGGTTAATTATTAATGCATAAATAAATCTATTATTGGCGATCACTTGAATTAAAATCATATTAGCCTAAAATCAAATTATTAATTATCTCATTAGGCGTGATTTCAAGTACAAGTTCCCTTTAAACCTACAGAAAAGGGCGTGATCAAGCAATAACAATAAATCATGAATAATCAAGCAATGTAATAATTATTGACACAACAATCATCATCATAATAGCATCATCAAAACATGATTAATAGCAAGATCCTAGGGATGATACTAAACGGATTAATAACAAATCCTAGCATGTCACTAAATAATAAAGATTAAAGCTTTAGCCTAAACATGTTACTAGAAATCATAAAAAAAAACATCCTAACATGATACTAGGAATCAAAATAATATTCTAAGCATGATTTCTATATCAAAGGAATAAATATTAGGGAGATCAAATTACTCACTTTGATGCTTCGTATCTCTTTCTATCAAAACAATACACACGTTAGTAAGTTCAAGAAAGAAATAATCAAATAAATCAAATAAGAATTGAAATATAGATTTGGGACCATACCCTCAGAACTATCAACCTTTTACATCAAGGTCGAAGGCAAATACGAGATTGGCTTGGAGTATTCAAGGCTCGTGAAGGAAGTATGGTGCATAATATCAAAAAGGTATTGGGATGTGTTTAGGCTAGGCTAAGAATATGAAGAAAGAGAGAGAGAAAAGCTTTTAGCTTAGAGAGGAGATTAGATGATGATTGTCGGTGATCAAGCTTGTTGATGATTGAAAATGGGGTGATACGACCTCTATTTACAAGAAAAAAGAAGGGTTGAAGGATTAGAAAAGATCGGAATTCGAATTAGAATAAAACTCCTTCGATGGACAGCAGTTTTTGCGGTTTTTATTTTTATCATAACTTTTGATCCAGAAATTGGAATAAGATAAATAATATATCGTTGGAAAGCTCTGCAGTAAGTCTACTTTCCAATCCAATTAGAATTATATTGATATTTTTTGTATAATAAAATATATGGCCAAAATAGTGGAAGGGTGTCAATTTTGGATAGAGTTTGGTATTTCATTCATATCTTTTTCGTTATAGCTTGGAATTGGGATTATGATATATCATTGGAAAGATAATTGGGGCGATACAAACATCTAAGATTTGAATCAAACCTATGAGGCACGAAAATCATATCTGAACATCTTTGAATTCGAATAAACAAGGACTTTCAAAAGAGGAGTTTTATTCAATTTCAAACTCTTAAATCTTTATCTTTCAAAAAGGATAGATTAGAACCTACTAAAGACTTCTAGAAGTTCCTAATGAATCCTAATTGGTTTAAGATTGGGATTAAGGTTAATGGACCCTCCACATGATCATTGGGTCGTAGGTAAGGCGGACCTAGGTTCGGTTTGGGCTTGGTTTAGTATTTTGGCCATAATTTAAGTCGGATTTGGGCTTATAATATATCGTTGGAAATATCTTTTCAAGCCCTATCCAACTAAACAATCATTAGACCCATATTATGGACCAAAATAAACTAGTTTGGACGTTTTATAAAGAGGACACGAAATGAATGATTTTCAAAGACACGAAATGAATTATTTTGGGTTTAAATGCACGAAATAAATGATTTTGGTCTAAAACATTTTAGGAAAGGTTAGAAATGGTCAAGGCTAAATGGAAATTCACGAGACTCTTCAACTCTTCACCTAACTCGATAATCAAAGACGTGAAAGGTACTCATCACTTGGTTTGGTTTTTGGGGAGACACAATCAGGTGTCTACAGCTATATCATAGCTTGAACTCGTTCAGCAGTGATTGAATTGAGTGTCCCATTTGGCTTTGGTCCCATCAACTTACTACTACCATCTTAACTGCCATCGCTTTTAGTCTCAATTGGTTGTTTCTCAAGCTTCTTTGTCAAAGCAACAATTTGTTCATTTTGCTGTTTAATTTGAGCATCTTTTTCCTCCCCATCTTTCTTCAGTTGTTGAAGGAGGCTACTCATTTCAGCCAATTGTTCTTCAACCGTCTTAGTATGCGTCATCATAACAGCAACAATAGTAGGCTCAAGTGAGCTCACACTAAACTTATTGTCATGTCCTTCATCAAAGTGATCAAAGGATGAGTTTGTGTGGATGACAGGCTCAAATGAACCAAACACAAGTCTCTCACATGGCCCATGAGTGGAGGACGTGACAGACTTCACGGCAGCAGCAGGTCGAGCGCGACTTTTTCGTGCTTTGGTTGGGACTGACGCGACACGCAAGCTTGTTGCAGTAGAGTCAACAACAGTTTTGTTCATCCTTCCAATTGAGATGCCCCCAGTTTGGCTGTTAAGCATTTCAGCCAACTCAGCAGCCCTTTGATGGGCTGTAGTAGAGGCTTTTCAGCAACAATGTTCTTTGAGGCCATTGCAAGATTTTTTTTTTTTGAATGTACGGAAACAGAGATGAGAGGCAAAGATAGTCCCACCAAGTGTGCCAAAATTTGTTTACACAAATTTCGAGTCTAAATAAATACAGACGGGAAATAAAGTAACAAATGAATTTATATTAATATTTGATTTAGGTACAATCTCTGTATAACAGTTTATAATATAATAAACTAAGTCATCTGATTCTGTTCCGCAGCTTGACGATGACACGTGTGTGACATCTGTAGGATGACGTTTGATGATGTCGACTTGAGTTCGAATGCAGGGTGACGTTTCATGACGTCGACCTATATTTAAGGGTTTTGTTTTAATACACCTGAAAGAGGGCTTCCGAAGCTTAATCCTGTTCAAATATGTTTGTTTGTATCTAAACAAGTCAGCATGAAGTTAATGTGCATGTTGACTTATTTCAGGGAGAATTCCGTTTGAGTTTTACGAGCTCTTGGGAATAATGATTTCTAGATCTCTTCAAGTGATGGAGGAATAAGTATTTATAAGAGATGAGAACCCCCTTAGTGGACTTAGTAGGTTTGGGCTTAGCCCATTTAATGACTTAGAAGTCTTTTAACCTGGTCCATTTGATTTATTTCATAACCCGAATTGTATTTGACTAATTCGGATTATTTATTTGGGTGGGCAAAAAATAATTAAAATGGATCATTAACATGATTTAACCCAAATTAAATTATTTAATTTAATGTATGACACTCATAAAATTTCCGTGTCTACAACACTATTAAATGAAATTTCATATCTTGGTCCTAGAGGTGATCAATATTGACCTGGCCCGAAAATAGGGCGGGGTTTAGGCAAGCCTAAAAACCCGAACCCAGCCCGAAAAAATCCAAAAAGCCACTCTGGCCCGACGAGATATGATGGCCCGGCCCAACCCGATTTTAAAATCACCTTTACTAGTAGTTGGTTCTTAACCTTGGCTCCCTCAATTCGTAAGTAGGCCAAACTTGAGAATAGCAATGAAAATCTACATTGGAGAAATAGAATTTCACCCATTGAACAACTAAATCAAACATACAAATCCCGCATAATTTGATCCCCTAATTTGTCGCCTTCCCCAAGTCCTTTTGCTCTTTTCTTCTTCCTCCCTAAAGGGGCTAGCACCAACCTTTTTAGTTGGTGGTGGTAATATAAAGCTGTCTGCCTGTCTGAGCATCTAAGATTTACTCTGAATGCCGTAAGTTAAGGGTCTGACACAGGAGCATGTCTAGTATATTATGGAAGATACATTTATGGCCTTGACCAAATGACAGGCGGCAATAAATGGTGGTAATGGGAATATATTAGTATTGTAAATTTGTGAGGAAAGTCATACACCAATGTCTGGAAATGCTAATTTTTCTTAAGTATCTCTTTCCTTCTTAAATTTTCATTACCATCCATTACCACTGGGAGGTGGTATTGGTTGGGAATGGAAATTTATAAAGAAAAAACACAAGCTAGAGATGAGATTGCATTACCATGGACATTATGATGATACTTTCTTGCCAAATTACACTTGAATTTATTCCTATTACCGCCGCCATTTATTACCAGCTAAGAAACAGGCTGTTAGAGGATATGTAAGGACAACCAGGTCCACTGCTCCTGCTCCAGATAGCTTCTGTACCAACAAACTACAAGAATTTCGATCATGAATTAACTGATACTCTGCACAGGAAACTCAACAAATTAAATCTGATATGCGAAAAAGAAAACTGGTAAGGGAAGTATTCTACAGGATAGACGGATCATAGATTGGGTCTTTGCCTTTTTGTATAATTTGACCATTAATAGTTGATATGAGAGAGTGAGAGCCATTCCAGTTTTAAAGAGATTGATCACCAATATTATACCCACAATATTTTGTAAGTAAAAGCACAGTTTATACATAAGTAAACATGATTCTACATGTTATAGCTCAAAACTACAAGTATACATTGATTTACCTTAGGCTCTCTACTAATTTACAAGATCACCTACTCAAACCTCATTGGCCTGTAATGCCAGACAATTTTCGAAAATTTTTAAGCATTGAATAATATGCAAGGAAAATTGAATAATATGCAGCAGCCGAATGCATCCTTGAAATGTCAAGATGTCATAGACCACAAATAGCTTCCCAACAAAATCTCTATGGTAACTCTTTGAAGTAAAATCTAATTACCAGTAATCACCGCATGAGCAGGTCCCATTCTTGAAATGGTGGAATCTGTGCATATCACGCACAATAATTTCTCGGTCTGTCACGAGTGAAATGTACTTGGTAGCATTGTGGCAATCACCACAGACACGGAGATTTTTTCGAATATGTATAGGTACCCCATGATTTGTATTCAAAAGTCCAAATGCAATGGCTAGTTTCTCACTGTGGCTGCTAAGCAATTGCTCCTGAACATCAGCTTCTACATCATGTACAGAATTAGTATCAGGAACATAACCTACAGATTTTATTCTCTCAATAAGTGAATCCAGATAAGCATAAATCTCTCGTGATTGAGGATGGAGTGTGCTTCCGGAATGAAAAGTATGAAACTCATTTCTTAGCTCCACTAAACTACAGCCAGGGGTCTTACGAAGACCTTTCTTATCCATCATTGATCGCACCGCAACTACTTTATCCCACATTGACGCTGCAGAATATATATTAGCCAGCAGCACATGGTAACCACCATCATCTGGATCTAGATTAAACAGTCTATCAGCCGCTTTCTCTCCCAACTCAATGTTCTTGTGGATCTTGCAAGCACCCAACATTGCTCCATATACACTGATACCAGGCTCCATGGGCATGTTTTGTATGAAGTCCCAAGCCTCATCGAGATGACCAGCTCGACCCAAAAGGTCTACCATAGCTCCATAATGATCCATTGCAGGCTCCAAATTATATACTTCCTTCATCATTTCAAAGTAATACTTCCCATGTTCAACAAGACCTGAGTGGCTGCAAGCTGATATGATGCACAAAAATGTCACCTCGTTTGGTAGGATTGAACCTTTCAGCATTTCAGAGAAAAGTTTGAGTGCTGTTTCTCCGAGCCCATGTGTCCCATATGCATCTATCATGACATTCCAAGTTGTCACGTGCCTCTCATCCATGCCATCAAAAAGCTTCCTTGTAGTATGAATTGCTCCACACTTTGCATACATGTCAACAAGAGCAGTCTTTACAAAAACATTTGTGTCCAAGCAGGTTCTTATCGCAAGTCCATGGATCCACTTTGCCTGACGTAAATTGGATAACTCAGCTAAAGCAGGAATCACACTGACCAAAGTGAATGAATCCAACTTGATATTTCTTAATTGCATCTCACAAAAATAATTCAATGCCTCATTTACACAACCATTTTGTGCAAAACCTATGATCATGGCGTTCCAGGACACCCTAGTCTTATTCTTTAAGCTGTCAAACAACTTCATTGCCTCGTTAACCTTCTTACATTTCGAATACATGGAAATCAAGGAATTTGTAACAGACACATTAGACCCAAACCCCAATTGATCCGACATTCTATGGATGACCATACCCTTCTCTACATCTCCCAAGTCAGCACAAGCATGTATAGCTTCCATGATCGATACATCACTCGGGTCAATTCCTTCATCCAACATTGTCTCGAAAAGTGTCAATGCTTCCCGAGGATCCCCACTTTGAACATATCCATCAATCATAGAATTCCAAGTAACAACAGTCTTAGATTCCATAGAATCAAAAATCAACCTAGCAGTCCCCACTGCTCGACATTTCGCATACATATCAACCAATGCAGTCAAAACATTCACATAACAATCGAAACCGGCCCTCAAAACATACCCATGTATAGATTTCCCCATAATCAGCTTACCCATATCCGCCAAAGCAGGCAATACCGTGATCACCGTAATCCAATCAGGCCTCGTCCCTTCTTCCTGCATTCTCACAAGCAACTCAAGTGCAATTTTAGCATACCCATTTTGAGCATACCCAGAAATAATAGCATTCCAAGAGGCCACGTCTTTCTCAGACATTCTATCAAACATCTTATATGCATCACAAGTTTCCCTACATTTAGCGTACATATTCATAACTCCAGTCATTGCAAACAAATTAAACGCAAACCCATTAACAATCAACTGCCCCTGAATCTCCCTACCCCTTCTAATATCCGAATTATCACCACACAACTTCAACAAATAAGTAAAATTATACACAATTGGCTGAACCCCATCACATTTCATCTTACAAAAAAACGAAAAAGCATCATCAATGGTGGAATTATAAGCATACCCTTTTAGCATAGTATGGTAAAGAGCATCAAGTTTATCCTCAATTGGGTAAAAAACACGAGCAGCATCATCCATTGAATTGAATTTACAGAACAAACTAACAAGCTTAGTTTGAAAGAGATGTTCATTGTATAGATTATGTTTGTATATATGAGGAATAATTTGGCTAAGTTCTTGAATTGAACTGCAGATTTCGAGAAGAATTGCAGCAGGGTGTTTGTAAATATGAGAGGGAATGTAGACTCTTTGTGAAAGAGGAGGTCTTGAGAGAGAATATGGTGATGGGGTAGTGGGTGAAGATGGTAGGGATAAGGTTTGCATTGAAATCATCTAATGGTTTGTTTAGTCAGATTTTGCAGGAAATTCTTGGCAATCTGCTCGTTCAGTGAACAGAGTTGCTGGGAAGAGTTTTTGATTGAGGAGTTTTGAGGTGGGAATTGAAATTTTGGCTACGAGAGCATAGCAACTCGATTGACGATTGTAAAAGAATAATAAAACCAATCAAGTAAGAGTATGCACAGTGGTGGGATTCATGAATCCCCTTTATTCTTCTCTCATTCTCTTCTTTTGACACGTCATTTTTCCTTCTTCCTCGTCATTTTCCACTATTTCCATCCTCTTCCTCTTTCTTTATTTTTTCTCACAATAAAGGGGATTTATGAATCCCCTGTTTTTCTATTTATGCCCTACCATCTTCTATTAAATTAGATATTTGCAAATTTAATATGACAAATTATTATAATTAGATTAATGACAATTTTAATATATTACAAAAATGTACAATTAATGATAATTTAAAATGCATAATTAGTAAATAGAACGGTCGTCACACATATAATAAATAGTTAAAAAGGAACATTGCAATACATTATGTAAAAAGACAATTCATGAAATTCGGAAACATAAAAATACATTAAAAGCCGATAATTGAAAAATGAGAAACTAAATCATAAATACGTTTTATTTTTAAGGTGAGTTGACAAAAGTGCTCCCAAACCTAGCCCATATATGTTCCAGTAAATCATTCTTCAAAGATGTATTAATTTGTTTATCACGAAGATTTTCTCGTGCAGCCATCATTGTAACTAAATTTTGATCTTTATAACGCCCAGGGGTAACGGTGAAAGTTGTTGCTTTTCTCCTTGATGATCCTGCTAGATTCTCGGGTTGTTCGGTGGAAAATTTCGTTGGATCCCAATAATTCATGTAATTATCGCGCCCATCTTCTACAATCATATTGTGCATGATAATACACGCCATCACGATTTTCCATAGCATTTCGACACTCCATGCCAAAGCCGGATGTCTAATTATTGCAAATCGAGCTTGTAGCACACCAAAAGCACGCTCAACATCTTTTCTAATACTCTCTTGTTTGATTGTAAACAACTTCTGTTTAGGGGTTTGTGGGGAGGTAATAGCGGAAATAAATGTTGCCCATTTTGGATAAATCCCATCTGTGAGATAATATCCTTGGTTACACTACTAGAAATAGGTCGTTTTCCGACGGACTTAAATTCCGTTGGAAAATTCGAATATTCCGACGAAATTTTGGTATGTCAAAAAAATCCGTCAGAAAATATAAGTTGCGACGGAAAATCCCTCGGAAGTATTCCGACGGATTTTTTATCCCTCGGAATTTACTGCTTCCGATGGAATATTCTCTCGGAAAATTTCTTCCGACGGAAAATTTCGTCGGAAGATTTAAATTCCGAGGGAAAATAATCCGTCGGAACCTATTAATTTCCTACGGTTTTAAATCCGTAGGAAAATTTCTGACGGATTTTAATTCTATCAGAAATTCCCGACGAAAATTTATTTAAAAAAGAAAAAACAAAGTAAACCCTTAAACTAAAACCGGACCCCCTACCCCCTTCCCTTTTCATTTCTCTTTCTCTCTCCCCGCCCCTTTTGCATCTCTTCCTATTCATTTCTCTTTCTCTCTCCTCTCCTCCTCTCTTTCTCTCTCCTCACCTCCTCTTTCACCGCAACCCATAAACGGCTTCCCTCACTCACCGAAGCTTTAATCCATAAATGGCTCCAGTTTTCCGACGAATTTTCCGGGGAGGACTGAGGTTCGGCGTCGAAACGAGGCTTGACTCAGTTTCATCAACAACAACCTAAACATCAATTGTAGATCTTGTAATTTAGGTTTGTGTTTAGATCTAGTTTTTTTTTTTTTTTGAATAAATGTTTAGATCTAGTTAATTGTATATGTAATTGTAATGTTATTTTATAAAATTTATTAGACAATTATATATTTATACATTTCTATTAATTTTCCTTGTTTAATTTTGGTTTTTTGAATTTTTTGGGGTTTTTTTTCCGGTTTTTAGGGTTAATGGTGGTGATGTGGTGGTGTCGATGGTGGTGGGGTGGCCTGTTCTGGTGGTGTCAGTGGTTATGGGGTGGGGTTGTGGTGGTGTGGGTGGCGTGGGGGAGGTTTGGTGGGTTATTTGGTGGTTCTGGGTTGGGTTTGGTGGGTCTGGGTGGGGTGTCTAGGTGGGGAGATGGGTCTGGGTTTGGTTTGGTGGGTCTGGGTGGGGTGAGGTGTCTGGGTGGGGAGATGGGTCTGGGTTTGGTTTGGTGGGTTTGGGTGGGGTGGGGTGTCTGGGTGTGGGAAAAAGGGTTGGGGACGTGGTGGGTGGTGTGGGCTGGTGGCGGGGGTGGATCTGGGTGGGGATTGTGGTGTCTTTTTTTATTTAATTTTTCGACGGAATTTTCCATCGAAATATACCTCCTCCGACGGAAAATTCCGTCGGAACATCTCCCCCACCAACGGAAATTTCCGTCGGAACATATCCTACTCCAACGGAAATTTCCGTCGGAACCTTGCAACGGATTTTCACTTAAAGTCAACAAAAGTGCCGACAGAACATAATCCGTCAGAATAGACCTTTCCGAAGGAATATCGCGAAATTCCTACAAAGTGTGATGCGACGATGCTTTCCGACGGAATTTCAGGGTTTTCCGACGTATATTTTCCGTCGTTGATTGACTGTTTTCTAGTAGTGTTATAGGTATTTCCACTCACAATGAAATTAACTTGTGGAGCTCGGCCATTTAAAATATCGTCAAAGACGGGAGAACGTTGAAGAACGTTTATATCGTTGCACGTCCCTGGCGTGCCAAAAAAGGCATGCCAAATCCATAAATCCCAAGAAACAACAACTTTTAAGATCACCGTCGCCCTTTTAGATCTTCCTTGATACATTCCTTTCCACCCAGCTGGACAATTTTTTCACTCCCAATGCATGCAATCGATGCTCCCCATCATGCCAGGAAAGCCCCTTTCTTCCCCTTGTTTAAGGAGACGAACAAGATCTTCGGCTTTTGGCTTCCGCAGGTATTCTATTGAGAATTCACGAATCACTCCATCAACAAAGTGTATAAGACATTCTCTTGTCGTACTTGCCCCAAGTTTTAATGACTTTAATTGAATATGAGAGAAAATATGGAGAAAATGAAGATTTTGAAAATATGGCAAATTTAGGTTCATTATATAGAGAAAAAAAAATATAACCGTTGGTGTTTTTTTTTTTAAAAAATAAGTTACCGTTTTTTTTATTACCGTTTGAATAATTATAACCGTTGTAAATGTCAACCAATTAGAAAACAACAAATGTCAGCAAAAGCAAGCAACACGTGGGCCTCTGCCAGCCTGGTCGGCCAGCAAGAAGCTGCCACGTGGCACTTGCTGGTCCAGCCTTTTCTTTTAACTTTTTTTTTTATGTTTTGTTTTTTTCCCCACCTTTTCCAATCCCCTTCCCCATCTCTTCTTCCTCTTCCCATGGAGCATTCACCATCTTCCTCTTCCTAAGACGATTCACCATTTCAACACTACAATCAAGGGGATTCCTCTTAAGAGGAGAGAGAAGGCTAAGAGGAGGGTGAATCCCTACCATTGTGCATGCTCTAACCCTTGTAATAATGGTGGAGTTAGTACTAGGGGTGAGCATCGGATCGGATATCCGATTTGAAATTTTTGGATATCCGAAATTTTCGAATTGGATAGTTCGGATATCCAATATCCGACTCATCTAATAATATGGGTTTTTTTACAGTAGTAATATTGTTATATTACTTAATTAATGGCAAAATTTAGGAACACCACCAGACTAATCAACAAATCAGCCACCGCACTACAACAACCATCAGCCTAATTTCGACCACCAACACCACCCGTAAGACGCACCGCCAGTCTCGCCCACCAACACCACCAATTTCTTCTCGATGCAGCACAAATTCTAGCCGCCAAATCAACAATATTAGCCAACAAATCACATGTAACTCCAAATACTGCATCAAAATCAACTCTCTTATTCCAGTAGTTTTCGCAGCTTCAAGAATATCATTCGGAAGGGTCGCCCCATATTTCTCAGTCTCTCTCATAACTTCCTCAAATTTCAATATCGCGCCGAACTCCTTCTTTTCTCCATCATCACCATTTCCGTCACCTTCTCCACCACTACCTCCGCCATTTCCGCCATTTTTAGGCGGTGACTTCCCATCACCATTGTCAGATTCACCATTATCGAGCCGAGCCAAAACATTCTCTTCCAAAACCCGAACATCATCATCTGGAATCGTCACAGTAGATTCCGAGTTATACGAATTGACAATAAACCCAACTTTCTCTCTCCTCCAATTGGCCGTATTCATGAGTTTAAGAGAGAAAGATGGTATGGGTTGAGAAAACCCAAAAACCCTACAATTGAGGATGAAATTGGAACTCCATTGATTGATTGCATTGTTGGGGAGATATCGGCCGTCGATGGGTTGCCGCAGTCAGGGGGAGGTGGCTGTGCGGTAGGTATGAAGGTGGTTTTGGTTTTTTGTTTTTATTTGAGAAGATGAAGAGGAGAGAGAAAGTTAGAGAGATAGATGAGAAAGGGAGAGAGAAAGTCAGAGGCGGTGGGGGGGGTTTTGAGGGAGTGATTATTAATTAGGGTTAGTAGATTTGGGCCTTGGGCCTTGGGCCTTTGGGGAGTATTTTAAATAACCAAGCAATACTTCACCCAAAAAGTAATACGTAACAATAAGTTTTTTTTTCGGATATCCAAAATCCAAAATCCAAAATTTGGATATCCGATATCCAATATCCGAAAAATCCGGATCGGATATCCGATCTGAAATCAAATTCGGATTGTATATCCATAATTTTCGGATCAGATGCGGATCGGATCATCGGATTTTTGGATCTTCAGATAGTTTTGCTCAGCCCTAGGAGTAACTCCTATAACACTGACGATGTATCGCCTATAATACATTGACAGAGTAACACCTATAACTATAACTAAGTAACCTCTGTAACACATTGACAGAGTACACCTAACCTCTGTAACACATTGACATAGTAACACCTAACCTCTGTAACACATTGACAGAGTAACCCCTATAATAATAACGAAATAACCCCGTTATATATAAAAATTAGTGCATGCGGTATTGTGATCTAGAAAGACTATATTGATAGACTAGTGAGTAATGCATGTGTTCATTCAATTCATTAAGTACCATCTCACCAATGGTTTGTCCGAGTGCCATTGAGTGCCCCTGGGTTTGTAGCAACTCCTTAGTTTCTAGTTTGAGTACGAAGATTGCCATTTGTGTAATTCCATCGATTTGTAAGTTACTTGTACCTGGGTTGAGATGGTTGAATCTTTGTTGAACGGTGGGAAAAAAGAGGAATTCTAAGACTCTAGTAATTATAGTCATAAATGACTCTAATAAGGGCATTTCCGTCCATTCAATTTTACCGCACTTGGAAAAAAAAATGTCATAACACGCATTGGTATTTCATTATACTTTAGATGGTATTATCATGATACCAACAACCTTATTCAGTGATACCAACGAATGCAAAAATGTTTTGTTGATATCGATATAATTTGTTGTTGGTATCATGTGAAATACCAACGTATGTTATTAGAGTATTCATGACTCTAATTATTAGAGGCTAAGAATTCCTCGGGAAAAAAAAGAAGTTAAACTACTAGTTTGAGAAGATAAATATACCAACTCATCTATTAATCAAGCAAAAAGGGAGAAGACATCATCAAAACAAGGAGAAATTAAGGTATCAGTCTTACATTCAGCATTCACACACAACCCCGTATGAGCCATGGCAACAATTTACTACCAAATGTCCCCAGGAGTTGAGTGTGATTGTATTTGATAATATGGTGTTAATGTTAGTTATGGAAGTGGAAGGGGATTGCTAGAGATGGTGGAGTTGTTGGTGGGGGTTTAAAAAACTAGAAACCTGTAAAAAAAAAAACCAAATGTATATAAAATAAATATTATACATCTGTTGTAAAGTTGCCTTAAAATGATCAAAATTACTCCGATATATATAAAAGCTACCCCAATATAAATAAAAGTTTTGTATGCTTTATTAATAAAACTACTTCTTTGAATGAGTAAAAAATCAAATCTCAGTGAGTGACTGAGTGATAGTAATTACATTTTCCTTATAAAACTTATCCCATTGTTTATTTTTCAAGTTACATTTGAAAAATATTAAAAGTTATTTTAAATTTACTAAAAGTTATCCTTAAATAGTTTGATTTACACTTATATTGTAAATCGAATGTATACAAAAGTTGAAGTGGAAAAATAGTGATATGGACAATTGGACACCAGTATAGATACCCGAACACATAAAAGAAACTATGCAGCTGTGGGGATGAGAAGGAAATGGCGATGGGTGAAACGGCCGGGGAAGAAACTGAAGAGGCTGGGTGAATCATTCAAAATTAAGTAAAGGGTTTTCGTGGAAACAAAACCATCATGATTGAAAATCAATGAGAAATTTAAGCTAGAATGTCCAAGGATTTGGCAACTCTTGGACGGTGTATTTTCTTTGTGTTTGGTGTTGGAGAGAAAGGTCAAATATCGTCTTCTTAATGGAGAATATGATAGATAGGCTTCAGATTATGTGCAATTTCTTTTGTGTTGGAGATGTGACTATATAACTTTAAAATATTTAAATTATATTAATAAATTTAAAGTATTTAAAATATTTTAAAGGAATTTTTTTTTTAAAAGTTACTATATTTGATTTTTCAAGGTAATAAAAGTAAGTTTTAAAAATGAATTTTGATTTAAAAAGGAAACAAGTAATATTTCCTAAATTATTTTTTACAAGGGCAAGGTGATTATTTTGATTATAAACTAGATTAAGTCCCGTGCATCACACGATTGTTACTAAATTTTACGGAGTATTTGTAACAAATTGCAATATTAATTCAACAATAATGGTACGTACACCATTATTTTTTATACTTATACCAATGAGAAGGTTATCGAAACATCAGACGTTATTTAAAAATAAATAAATAAATAAGGTCTATGAGATATTATATTAAAAAAATAAAAAATCTAGTTTAATACCCATGCAGTGGATATGCTATTATTAATACCACTTATAAAAAATAAAAAAATAAAAAAAAGATATTATTGTACATATATAAGTTACCAAAATGATTTTTTAAAAATTGAAATAAACTTTATTGCAAAAATAGTAAAGTTGAAACAAAGGAAAAAAATTATAATATTATAGGAATAATTTTAAATAAATGTATTAATTTAATAATTACTTAATCTTTGTTCAATTTTTTAAAATACATAAAATATTGAAAAAAAAGGAAACATGGGTATATAGAATATTATTTTGATGACAATTTTAGATATTTGCTATAATATATATGGCGTGAATCTTTTTTAGAGTTTCAAAAATATATGGTGGTCAAATAGGAAGGTTATATATTATAATAATATAGTAAATATATTTGAAGAAGATTTGATGAACAAAAAAAAGAAAAAGAAAAATGTGTTTTAGAGGGAAAAAACAACACCAGAAAATGACACGTGTCATTCCTGATGTCTGTTTTAATATTATGTTATTGATGACCAAGTTGTAACATTACTTAAACCCTTCTATTTATAGGAGACTATAATTACTCAAAAAATTTTAAAGCATGTTCATAAATCTCCAAAACAATTTGAAGGCCAAAACTGTAATACCCCGTATTTTTATACGTTTTTTAATTTAAATAAGTATTTCTTAAAGTATTTAAATATTTCGAAATGAATTATTTATAAAAAGAATTATTTTAGTTAAAAGTTTATTTTTAATTTTTTAATAATCTTGAAAATATTTTATTTTATGATTTGGAAATATTGGGGCATATTATTTTATAAAAGTCAATAAGTTTGTAAAGAAAGTTAAAATACTAGTTTGACTAGGAAATGGATCATTAAGGGTAAAAAGGGAATTTAAATCTAGGAGAGTTTTATAAAAGAGAGTATAAATACCCATCACATGGGCAAATTAAACTTTGCCCAAGGTGGAGAATACCTAAAGGTAACTCTCTTTCTCTCTCCTCTTATTTTCTCTCTTTTTCTCTTAATTTTTCCCTTTACCCTTTACTTTATTTTTGTTTAAATCACCACCCACACACCACCACCACCACCAGTGGCTACAACCATGGCTGCCCACCGGCCGGCGGCCACCACCACTAGCACTCGCCGGCAGCAGCCTGTCGTGGTGGTGTTGTGCGCCGGTGTTCGAACAAAAAAAAAATATTCTTTTTTATTTTTAATTAAATCTACCCTTAATCTAATTATTGTTTTTGGGTTTTGTGATGAATTTATGATGTTTGATGATAAGTATTTTGTGCAAAAAATTTCAGATTTGGTTTTGAATTAAAAAGCCCCAAATTATAAACCCAAGGTTTCTAAGTTTATGTATATTGATGGAAATTGTTTATGGGTGATTTAAATTATTGAAATAAGTGTTTTAAAACACAATTACAGCAATTTTAAATGATTTAATAAAGTTGGAATTTTTATATATAAGCTATAATTAAGTTTCTTGAAAGGATTTTTAATTACCTATTAA